TAGTATCTAGAAGGTCTTGTCATCGCTGATCTAGAACACATGTGTCAGGGAGACCCTAGTGGAAATTTTCTCATCCCAAAAGTTTAGAAGGTTTACATTCTGGAGAGGAAGAAGTTTTTCAGATATAATACATAGATTTTGCCATAGTGAGGTGAGTGGTACTTTCAACTGAATGTTTTTCTATACGAGCCAGCAGACAGCTTGGCTTCCTGGTTGTAATTATATGCCATTGGCTTGTGGTTATTATTTTAGAAACTGAGTTCATCATGGACTCCCTGAGCATTCCCATTAAGATTGTAATTCCATCCAAGGTTTATAGTGTCATCGTAGAAACTAGATGGAATTACAGCCCCGTGCACATTTTGGAAGACTGCATTATTTATTGAAATACTTTATAAAGTTAAATAATTTTGTAAATATCCTGAAAGTACTTGGGACTTAGAAACCTAATCTTAGCCATATAGAAGGTTCTCAGTAAATATCTGTTGTTTATTTGGTTGACTTCGTTTACGTCTTTAAATAATGTTTTAAACAAAACAAAACAAAACAAAACCCCTGGAGAGGCTGTACTTATATTTGTAGGACTTAAAAAAAAATCTTGCCTTAAAATGCTTGTGGGGTCTCCTGCTTGTTAATTGATGGAAAAATTGGCTCCGCGTGTGAGTATTATTTAATCTTTTCTGTTTCTAGCCTAGAGTGTAAAATTGAGTGGTTCTAGTGGCCAAGGATCTTAATTTCAGAGAAGTCCACTTGTCCCAACTAATCCGTTTTACATAAACATTTCTTTTCTGCATCATGTTCCTAAACCTGTGTGTCCCATGCCTTTGAGGTGGACCCCTATGAGGTGAATAATTATACAACCAGAAACTTTGGCTGTCTGTTGGAATATTGGATGGATGCCTTTCTTAATGGTCTTAATCAGGGCAAGAACTGTCAAGATAATTCACTAACATGGTGTGTGACCAGATACGAATGGCCTCTGTTTTTTATGCCCCTAGACATACTACTTCAGAAAAATGTAAGGTTGGAAGTTCACAAAGATACATCATATATTTCAGAGTCTGATATGGTTTTTATTTTTTTTTTAATTTATTTAATTTTTTTCTAAGTAGGCTCCATGCCCAGCGTGGAGCCCAACGCAGGGCTTGAACTCAACGACCCTGAGATCAAGACCTGAGCTGAGACCAAGAGTCGGACTCGTAATCAGCTGAGCCACCCAGGTGCCCTGATGGTGGTTTTTATTTTTTTTATTTTTTTATTTTTTAAAGATTTTATTTATTTATCTGAGAGAGAGAATGGGAGACAGAGAGCATGAGAGGGGAAGGGTCAGAGGGAGAAGCAGACCCCCCGCCGAGCAGGGAGCCCGATGCGGGACTCGATCCAGGGATTCCAGGATCATGACCTGAGCCGAAGGCAGTCGCTTAACCAACTGAGCCACCCAGGTGCCCCATGATGGTGGTTTTTAAATTGTAGACTCTGTGTTGTATATTTTGGGATGATTATATATACTCTGGGTAACAAATTATTACTGGAAATGTTACTGCCTGTGCCATCATATGCCCTGCAAGACCATAGTGTCAAAAAGCTAAAAGTCAACGTATTTTGAGTATTTTTTTTTTAATTTGCAATTTTGGGGATTTGCAGGCACGTATGGAAGGTTCTTCAATTTTAGTATATGTGCTGCCGAAGCGAGCACGTAAGATTCTTCAAAGATAAAAAAATTTCAATGAAGGAAATTCTGTATTATTATATTCTTTTAATTGTCAGAAATATTTAAAATTTATATAAAATTATATTAATAATCCATTACTTATGAATGTTATCTGTTCCAGGAAGCATTCATTTTTAAGAGTTCATATGTAGAGGGGATGCCTGGGTGGCTCCGTCGGTTAAGCGTCTGCCTTCGGCTCAGGTCATGGTCTCAGGGTCCTGGGATCGAGTCCTGCATCGGGCTCCCTGCTCAGCGGGGAGTCTGCTTCTCCATCTCCCACTCCTCCTGCTTGTGTTCCCTCTCTTGCTGTGTCTCTGTCTGACAAATAAATAAATAAAATCTTTTAAAAAATAAATAAATAAAACCATGTTTTCTAGGAAACTTTCTAAATTAAAAAACATCTACATAAGAAGGGGAATTATAGGGGCACCTGGGTGGCTCAGTCGGTTAAGCGTCCACCTTCAGGTCAGGTCATGATCTCAAGGGTCCTGGGATCGAGCCCCTCATCGGGCTCCCTGCTCAGCGGGGAGTCTGCTTCTCCCCCTCCCTCTGCTGCTCCGCCTGCTTGTGCTCTCCCTCTCTCTCTCTCTCTGACTAATAAATAAATAAAATCTTTAAAAAAAAAGGTTCGTATGTAGAACAGAGATAACAAATAGGTAGAGCTAAAGTCAATGCTTTCTGCTCTTGAAGAATTTATTGAAAAAGAAGATAATCTTTACCTTGTTATTTCTCTGTTTAAGGGCTTAAAGACACTTAGAGAATGCTTCTGCTTTTAACAGTTTAAAGGTTGAACAATGACGGGTCCCTCTGTCTTCTGATTTATTTTGATGTAAATTCTAACGTTTTGTTTCTTTTATCACCTGTAAACATTTTATGTTAGCCCTATAAATTAGACTCTGCTTTAACTAAATAGAACCCCTTGATCCACCTTACAATGAACAAAAAGTATTTTCTTCTTCAATGTCTCACAGGGAGTACTGCTGGATTTTATATAAGAAGTTGACTTTAAAAGTGGTGGGGTTTTTTTGTGCGGTGTGGGTGCAGCAACAATATTGTGCATTTCTTTCAAAAGGATCTGTGGGTGGGGGAACTACCTTTGGTGCCCTCCCTGGTTACCCACTCAGTTGTTCCTCACAAGAAAAGGGGAAACCCAGGGCTCCGTACCCACTAATTCTGAATAACAGGGCTGGGGGTTGGTGGGGTGGAAAGGCCACTGTCTTTTGGCAGAAGCCTTCGTGGTACAATAGCTTAGCAAAATGCAGGGGTTTTTTTGTTTGTTTGTTTGTTTGTTTGTTTAAGATTTTATTTATTTTTATTTTATTTTATTTTAAGATTTTATTTATTTGACAGAGAGAGACACAGCGAGAGCAGAAACACAAGCAGGGGGAGTAGGAGAGGGAGAAGCAGGCTCCCCGCCGAGCTGGGAGCCCGATGTGGGGCTCGATCCCACGACCCCGGGATCGTGACCTGAGGCTAAGGCAGATGCTTAACCCACTGAGCCACCCAGGCGCCCCCCTACAGAAAATTTCATTCAGTGTGCTTCTCATTTGTTTTCCGTGAGGCCTTTGTCACCTCTAGAATATGAAAGTGAATTAATGAAGAATCTATACTTTTTTTTTTAGAAAACACTCCTGATTTAGGAAAGGTGACACTTGCATGTAAGACCCAAAATTTATAGGCTATGCAATAAATTCCAAGAAATTGAATCGGATAGCCGTAAGAAAACATCATCTTTATTAGCAGAGACTAAATGACTGAAGTTTTACTAAATACTAAATGCAGGTAAAGAATGTCAGTGGTCAGGCGGTACCAGAAACTATGCAGAAGTCAGGCTCGTCATTAACGATTGTGTGGCCTTCGGCAAGTAACCTAAATTCTCTGGGCCTTAGGAAGAACGAGGAAGTTGGATTATATCAGTGGTTTTCAGATGTGGCTTCAGAACCCCTTCGAGCAGCTGTGGGTCCCCCACCAGGCCTCTGCCGAGTTGGCCGAGAGCTTGGGGTGGGGAGGGAGGTTGAGGCCCAGGAAACTTTGTGTTACAGTAGCTAGTAGGCATTTTCAGTTTGTGGGACCATTAAATCAAGTGATCTTTTTTTTTTTTAATATTATTTATTTATTTGAGACAGAGAGAATGAGAGAGAGAGAGAGCACATGAGAGAGGGGAGGGTCAGAGGGAGAAGCAGACTCCCCGCCGAGCAGGGAGCCCGATGCGGGACTCACTCGATCCCGGGACTCCAGGATTGTGACCTGAGCCGAAGGCAGTCACTTAACCAACTGAGCCACCCAGGCGCCCAAATCAAGTGATCTTTAAGACCATTTCCAACTCTTACATTTCAGTCAATCCCTAGGGGAAAAAAATCGTCCTTAGTCAGCAGGAAGCAACCCAATAAGGAATTGGGCCTCTATGAAAGAACACTTTCAAATGGGAGAGGCAGTATGGGTTTGATCATTTCCCAGGGCTGCTGCTTGTCCGCAGTCAGATAAGTCTAAGATCTTTCCAAAGGCAAAGACAGGAGAGCTGAGAAAGGTTATTCTCTCTACCATCTCTCCTTCGAAGACATTGGGGACAGGAGTGAGAAAGGTCCCTTGAGTTGAGGGGGATCTCTGCATGCCCCTGTGTCTTCATGTGATCAGTCATGGGCTGGTCTGCGTTGATGTTGGCCCCGTGGTCTGCGTCGGAGTAACAGACAAACGATGGACACAGTGGCCATCTGTCATCATGCCAGACCAAGGAGGGGCTGAGAGGAGTGTGGCATGATCGAGCCCCAGCCAGAGGCTCTCACAGCTCACTGGCATCCAGATCCATAGCCTCTACCCCTGCATCCTGGGCACAGAGACTAGCTCAGGGGAAAGGGGACGAGGCGCAAGGGAAGAGAGAAGACTGCAGGGACCTAAAGTGTAATATCCATGGTGGCAGCTGAGCTGTTTGCCAGGAAGGAAAGTCTGGCACTAGATGCCAAGCATGTTTGTACTAGAATGGGGTTCACAAATTCAAACAGAGCACTGTCTGTTTTGAAGGACTCATGTGAAAGGTTTGTTTGTCCCAAGCCTCAACCCAGGAGTCTGCCTGTCATAAGCATGGTCAAGTCGTCCCCAGACCTTTGACTGTCATCTCCGAAATTCGGAAGACAAGGACGCAGGGCTTCCCACTCTCTGATGGGGAGTGGGAAAGTGTTTTTCGGAACACCTTGGCCTTTTGAATGGTAAGGGAGGGCTTTCTGTCAGAATTTCCTGCAGGACTTAACAGAGGTGGAAAGTTGAAATAACCCTAAAGGTATCAAAGCTGAGAAACTGCCCTCTTTATCCTAACAGCCTCAATTAGTTTTGGAAGGCTGTCAGTGGAGAAACTCAGGGCCGCGAATTCAGAAGGCAGCCGTGTTGGATGCATCGGGGGTGCTGGCCCCCCGGGGTACCACACCTGTCTCACACCTTGTCGCAGACCCAGCTGAAGAAAGCTGCACCCTGCTTGCATCTAGACCCCGACACACGGACCTCTAGATTTACACTCTGAACACTCAAGGAAGTGGTTGGTTGCGTGACACAAGGAGTCCTCTTTGGTAAATAACTTTTTTTTTTTTTTGCAAAAGCTTTATGGAAGAAAGCAGAGAGAAGGATGCCTTTCCGCTAGTGTTTTGGAAACCTGGATCTCATCAGCTTTCTGGTTGGTTTTGGCTGTCGAGGTTCCTTATGCCAGAGCCACCGTGAGCCAGGTTTCTGAGGTTCCTCCGGACCCATGTTGGCAGCCTCTTAAAAATAACTGTCATTCCAAGTTCAGCTAAAATATATAACTCAACAAATAAATACATATAAAGCGTATGAATAGAAGTAGCAAAGTGAGGGTTAGCGGACCCAAGAGTGACAGCCTTGCCATGAAAAATACCATAAAACACTCTTCGGAAGGTCAGTTGCTTATGTTACTACTGTACAGTAAATGGAGAGGCTCTGACCCATTTCTCATGATCCGTGATTTCCCATTTCTCTGCCGGGAGGTTTCGAGGAGCTGACCCCTTGCAAATTTTCCTGAAAAAACAAAACAAAACAAAAACTTCCCTCATGTCTGTCACTGTTTTCTCCCAGGCAGTGTGTGTGGGCAAGGGGTTCAGCGTCCTGGTAAAAGACATGAAATGTCACGCTCACATCTTCCCTTCTTTTTCTTCTAGAAATGTTCTTTATGATTTTGAATGGGAAATCCTCAAATAGAGGATTACATAATGTTTGCTGATCGAGCGTGCATGTGATAGATGAGAGCAGAGAGCCCAGTAGAGAAGGGAGAGTCTTCACGTTTGGACCCTATGCTCACTGCGGCCGGATATGGATGCTGACAGGTGGTGGTGGGGGCTCTGAAGGAGAATGAACTGTGGACCGAGAAGGAGTCAAGAGTCTGTGTTCTTTACCTGTGGTGCTTATGTTTTATCAAGGCTCTTCCCAACATTACCGTCAGAGAGGAGAGAAGACATTGAAGCCTGTTTTATGGGGAGCTGTTTGTTATACAGGGTGGCTTTCATTTTCAAGGCTCTACTATGTTCAGAAGAGTAAATGTTGGTGCTTTCAGTGTTCTTCCTCTCCCCCCCGCCGCCGCCCCTCCACCCCTCAGCTTCTGCTATCTGCCATGCATATATTTCATTTGGCATTTAAGTGCATGGTTCTTAAAACTGCTGACGAATAATCTCCCTTTCACATTTTGCTGGCACCGTGGTCTCCCTGTAAATGCTCTCTGCATGTTCTTGGGAAGTTGCGTAATTGCAGGTACTCTCGTTTACTGTGCAATATGCTCGGTGACTAATGGCCTAATCAGGACTTGGAAAATATATAAACAGTTCAACAGAAGCAATTGATTCACTGAGCTCTTTTCATCCAGACAAGGGTGAGCTAATGGGAGTTAGAAAGACAGAGGTGCACAGCCTTTAATGCACTGCAGTTAGAGCGTTCCCACAAACCCCGTGCCTTCCTGCTCATTGATGCCGTGTGTCCTGTTTCATATGCATGAGCCCGCGGTGCCAAGTGGTCGTCCTAATTGGCCCTTACTTGGTATTCCCTAATGTGGATGTTACGTGTGTTACCACTTTTTCCCCTTTCCTCTCAATACTCCTGACTGTGATGGTGTTGGAGGGGCAGGCTGTCTCATCGAGTGTGTCCCCCGTGGCGACACCCTGGCCCTGGTTTCTGAGGATAAAAGTTGCAGTGGAGACTCCAGAAGCAGGACCGTGTGGCTTACCTCGGCACGTTGTTGTCGACCCGAGTTCTTGTTCTCTTGTCCTCGGTGGTGCTTTTCCTTCCAAACGTCCAGTCGAGGTGCACGGAGGTAGGGACTTGCAGCGGGGACGGGGTATCCTAAAGAGGACCCAGGTGTCACCCTGGAGCCCTATCTGGTGGGGACGAAGGAGAGCAGTCATCACTGTCATGTGGGGAATGTCTTAGATATCCTCTAAATTCTGCATCTCGTCCCCACCCAGTCCTTTCCCATGCCAGATTTGCTATCTTTTAGCTTGACTGCTGATTGAATTTCTAAATTTTTGATGACATCGCTGAATCTCTAGAAGCTAGCGTCTCATTGATGGAATAATTCAGAGCGTTCGAAAAGAAATAATTAATGACGTGTTTTCTCAAATAAGATACATGCCTGTTCATTCATAAAGAAGAAAAAAAAAGAGTTCTTTCACACGTTCCCCGTCCCACATTCATGGTAATGTTTGGACGTCTTTCTGGCTATTTAGGAATTAGAGGGCCCCCAGGCTTCTTTCCGGAGAATAGCGAATGACCACTCATCAGTGTTATTTGGTTCACTTTAAGTTTTAAGCTGCTGGAGCATAAGGTTTCCCATACCTTCTGGGACCCTGTCGTCCTTCACTCCCTGCCTTGGGTGACATGCCCTCACCCTCGTGTGGGAGCTGCGGTGGGCCGTTCTTCCTTGGAGGATCTGGTGAATGTACGACACATTTTGCTGTTCGTATCATACCTTGTTAGCTCTCCCAGAGGAATGTGTGTTTTGGAAAAGTACAGTGGTTGAGAATTTCTCCGGGAGCTCAGCACACTGGGTTAGGAAGTGAGAAGAAAGGGAATGGGGTAGAGGGGGATGTTTGGGGGCTAACGGGCCTTTCTGGGGCTCTTGAAAGCAATAGATATTAAGGTCAACACATTGACCCAAGGCTACCTGCAGCTCTGCTTTGCACCATGACCCTCCAAAGAGACCATTTCTTGGGCTACTGTCCCCAGAAAAGCTGGGGTACAGAGCAAGGAGGCGGGGTGGTGTCCTCCCATACTTACTTAAATCCTGCATATTTTGTCAGACTTTTATTATGTGTATTATTTTTAATTTTTTTATTACATAGCAACCAGATTACGAATTCTTTAAAGAAATTGTTTTACTCTTAATACTGCTACATTAAGAACCTGAGATATAAAGCCACAGTTCCTTTAACTACAACAATAATAAACGTATTAATATGCATTAAGGTTAAAGAAGCTTAATAGTACAACAGAACAGAGCAAAATCTGCTGGAAGGCACTAACGGTTTAGCATTCTTCATCTAGTCCCTGCATTTAATTGCAGAAACAGAATACTTATTTTAAGAGACAATGATGTGTGGATCTCCGGCGAGTTCTTCCTCATCTAACTCAGTAGCTCCTGGACGCCAGTATACGTGAAAGTTACCGTAAAGAGTTGTATGCACAAAATCATGTTTGCAGTGTCTTACAGGAAAGTTAAGGGATTTTCAAAGTTAATTTGGATTATATGTGACTTTTGCTTAGCTTTTGAACTTAACCTCCCACGTAAAAACTGTACTCTACTGTCTTATCCTCCCTCCCTCCCTACTTTTCATCTTTTCCTTTTCTTCTCCTCTCCCTTCCGTCTGGTGGATTAAATCCCACAGCTTTTTTTTCTTGTGAAATCAAAATAGTGGTGTCTACTTATATTCAAACCAGAAAATGACTAGTATGCTGAATATTCAGATCTCTTAAGAAAAAAATAAATAATGCAAGTATTCTGTAAAAGTCTATCTAAATTCCCTACCCTGTGTTCCTCTGTGGCTTTCTGTCTTCAGTTTCCCATTTTTAGCTGGAAAAGAGTACCAGCCAAAAGACAGCCAGGTTCTCTTTGCAGCAAAGCATATCAAACCATCTGTAGATGAGAAAGTAACATTTTGGCTTAAAAGCTGCCTTCTAATATAAGACAGAATGGAGATGATAATAACTAATAGAGAATAGAAAAGGGCATTGTGAATAAGAATCTGAAAATAAGATTTTCCTAAATAACCCAAGGATATCCGGTAGTTTAAGACTTCTGTGATACAAACATGTACATTTTCTCAAAATCAAAAGGAATTAAACGAGAGACCCAAGAAGCCAGATTACAAAGAAGTATGGTAAGTGAAAGATACATCGAATGTTATTGCCAGAATTTGGAAAAACGAACAAGCAAACAACATTTTGGCTCAAGCAGCAGGTCCGTTTAGGCAAACAGCCATGGATGGGTAAAAGTTGCAAGAAAAAAAAAATCTCGTCATGCATCAAACACTTTCAGACAACCATTTCATTTTATTTTAAGTTTTATTTATTGAAGTAATCTCTAAACCCAACTAGGGGCTTGAACTCACAACCCTGAGATCAAGAGGCGCATGCTCTTCCAACTAGAGCCGGCCAGGCGCCCTGACAACCATTTAATTTCTTAAAATCTCACAGACATTTTATTTTATTTATTTATTTTTTAAGATTTCATTTATTTATTTGAGAGAGAGAATGAGATAGAGAGCATGAGAGGGGGGAGGGTCAGAGGGAGAAGCAGGCTCCTCGCTGAGCAGGGAGCCCGACGTGGGACTCGATCCCGGGACTCCAGGATCATGACCTGAGCCGAAGGCAGTCGCTTAACCAACTGAGCCACCCAGGCACCCCAAAATCTCACAGACATTTTAAAGGGAACGGTAAATACAGAAAACAGGTGATGATGGACGAAAACAGAATGAGTTAAGAGCAGTACTAGAAAATGAACAATGATATCTGAGTTTCCTCAGTTGTCTTTTGCTCACCGTCACAGTTAGTCATCCAGTGAGAAACAAACGTAGGTGAACATTTTAGCTGGCTTCAAAGGACAAATGTTCGTGTTGAATTTCACTGAATTGTAACCCTCAACAACCTACAGTGTAAACAGGACAAACTTCATCGGTGGGAGTGAAGCAGGATACAAGTAAAATGGGTAAAATAAACAAGATTTGAAGAAAAATCCTAGTATATAGAGAATTTAAAAATAGAAGACACCCCCCCATAAACAAGATTTGAAGAAAAATCCTAGTATATAGAGAATTTAAAAATAGAAGACCCCCCCCATAAACAAGATTTGAAGAAAAATCCTAGTATATAGAGAATTTAAAAATAGAAGACACCCCCCATAAACAAGATTTGAAGAAAAATCCTAGTATATAGAGAATTTAAAAATAGAAGACACCCCCCCCAAACAAGATTTGAAGAAAAATCCTAGTATATAGAGAATTTAAAAATAGAAGACACCCCCCCCCATAAACAAGATTTGAAGAAAAATCCTAGTATATAGAGAATTTAAAAATTGAAGACACCCCCCCCATAAACAAGATTTGAAGAAAAATCCTAGTATATAGAGAATTTAAAAATAGAAGACACCCCCCCATAAACAAGATTTGAAGAAAAATCCTAGTATATAGAGAATTTAAAAATTGAAGACACCCCCCCATAAACAAGATTTGAAGAAAAATCCTAGTATATAGAGAATTTAAAAATTGAAGACCCCCCCCATAAACAAGATTTGAAGAAAAATCCTAGTATATAGAGAATTTAAAAATAGAAGACACCCCCCCCGCCACCCCCCCGCCCCCCTTAATGAATACCTGTATTGCAGATTGGAGCCCTCCGCCTGCAAAGTTCACTGCTGTCCCTTCCCAGCACTCACCACATACCTCTTGATTCACACCTCATGGTTTGTTTACATATCTGCCTCCCGGACTCAGGGTGGAAAGCTTCTTTAAGGACAAGGACAAACTCTGGTTCCTTTTTACATTTCCCGTGGCGCTTTGCTCACTGCAGCCACTCAGACATTAGTCATCGATTTTTTTAAAAAAAAAAACAGCTAGCTTGGTAAGTGAAAATAAAATAAAACAGCAAAATGAGACAAACACTCAGATCTGAAATGTTACAAAATAATCGTCAACAGTGCTTGAATACAGGATCAAATGGACATACTAGTCCAGATACTGTGATGGAAGCATTGAGGCTGGTGTAAAACTTCTCTTTGTCAGCTGAAGGTTCCAGAACAGAGGCCAACGGCATAGCTAAATTTGTTAGGGAGATGTTTCCAACCCAAAAGAATCGTACTGAAATTCTTTTGTCACCATGAGCAATCGACAGTAGAAAATACAATTTGTGAGTTGGAAATCAGGGTAAGAAACCCAAATTGATATTCTTTTCTTAGAAAAAAAATATCCATTCTTCCACTTGTATTGCTTTCCTCTTTTATAGCTTTGGCTTCCTCTTTCCCGTTGTCTATTATCCCACCACTAGATGGACAGTGCAGGGACCATATTTTATTCCTATGTATTCTTGGAGTCTAGCACAAAGTAGGCACTCAGCAACTGTTGAATGAAGAAATAAGATGTTTCAATTTCCCTAACAGCTAAAAGGATATATAAAACCAGTGCTAAGATCAACAAGAGTTGGTTTCATATGCTGGTAATTGTGGGTTTGGAAATAAGGAGCTACTTTATACATTATTTTTATAGAAGTGTGTCATATACCTGAGTAACTTTCAAAGTAAAAATTTATAGTTGTGGGATATTAAAGCTGGCAGGGACTTAAAACCTGTAGCTCAATCCACTTAAGAGCATTCCCCTGCTCTTCTCAACTAGCCATATAAAAGCGCCGGGAGTGTGAGTTAGTAAATAATCTTTTCAGAACCTTAGCTTTGTATATGTTTTCAGCAGATTGCAAACTCACCCACACTTGCTACTTTATTACTACTGTGGTGGAGTCATTCCTGGCCCGATGAGCGTAGCTGGCTTGGAGACAGAGGCTCTGGGTTGTTACCCTGTTGTTACCTGTCTTGATGTTCCCATTCATAATGCCGCACTTTGGAATTTGTGATTTTTGCATATTAGAGACAATGGCTAATGATGTCCCAGGTCTTTTTCCCTGTTCCCCTGCTGCATCATCTTCATCCCCGGCAGTATGCTACACCCCAGTTTTAAATAGCATACAATATTCATCTCCACTTCCCCCTGAAAATTCTTTCCCTGTCCCCTCCCTCCTCATATGTACTGCTTGTCACGAATGCTTGAATTTCACATGTTTGAAATGAGCTGAGAAAGGTATCTCTGGCTACCAGGGTTGAGCACCCTACGGCCAGTATCAGTAGAAAGAAAGTTGAGTGTAGAATCCATAATGAGTATGGGGTTTGGTGTAGGACCTTGACTCTTAGATCTTCAGAGTCACATGATCTTATTTGCAGGCTTTCTAAGAAGATTGTGCACTTGGAGAAAGGCCTCTGAGAAAAAAACGTGAAATTCTAAAGTCTTAGGATTGATACGGCAGTCGTGGATGGAGGATTAATCTACAGAGACTGTAGTTAACTGATCGGTTAAAAAGCCATTGGTTACTTGTAGGTACCAGGGATGTGTCTGCTAACATGCCTGAAAGAACATTCTGGAGAGCCACTTCCCTCCAGAAGGCTCTGGCTTTCAGTTAGACTAATGGAGATCCTGTGAATTTCACATGCCATCTTGGAAACTGTAGTCTTGTTTCAGATTCCAGGAAGAACAGGACTTGTGTTTCCCATTTACTGTTTTGTTATTTTGAAATTGAAATGGCAAGTCTGAGCAGAATTAAGAATTACGTAAAACAGGATCTTTTAACATCTTTGTTTAAGTCCTTTTCTTAGAACTTGCCAAGGACATTATCTGTGTCTCTAGTAGACTGGCTTCTTATTCCCAGACAGTGGCTATTTCCCAAGATCCGATTCCAGAACATCTGTTCTGTCATCGGTCAGGCTTTCAGTCATCTCCTATTTGATTTATGCTGTGTTAAACCTTCTGATGGAAAGGACTTTTATTAATGATGTTTAGGTAATAAAGTTGCAGAAGGCTTTAGAAAGGAACAGTCAAATAGCGAGCTTTGGCCCAGTTAGCCTTTCTAGTGGCAGAATGGATTGTGAGCTCATTGGCAGGTTTGGGTTGTGGGTCATTGTGGAACAGTCATGTTTCCGTTGCCTGTGGCTGGGAATATGTATAGTGGGGCCATTAAAAAAGCCTGTGGTTGAGTTCTGACTTAGAGCTGATTTGAACTGCCAAACAGACTGAATTCGTGGGAAACTAGTTTAAATGAGACCAGCTGCAACGTAAGAGTGTATATATACACACATGCTGGAGGCTTCTCCCTCCGTCAGGGGGGACGGAAGGAGAGAGCAACGGAGCGCTAGGTAAATGGGCCTGAGACTGGGGGATCCCAGCTGGGGGCCACTTCTTCCTGCTCAGAGGACATTGGGCAATGCCTGCAGCCATTTTTGGTTGTTATAAGTGGTGGAGAGGGGGGTAGGTCTACTGGCCTCTAGTGGGTAGAGATCAGAGATACCACTAAGTATCCCACTGTGCACAGAACAGTCCCCACAACAAAAGAATGATGTAGCCCCAAATGTCAATAGTGCTGGAACTGAGAAACCCTGGCTTCGACCCTCTCCTCTTTGTACTTTTTCAAGGTGATCCACCAGCCTGTCATGGTGGATGGTGAGAAGATAAGCTGCAGGTGTGAGCCGGATAAGGGGAGAAGTGGGTAGAGAAAGTGGCAGTGTTGTTTGAAACTTTTGGGGCCATAGCTCAGTTGTACCCAAGGGAACATGTGGGATTCTGTCTTTTATGTGCTTGGGAAAACTGAAAAGTGTGTGGGCCCCTGGGCCATGGCGTTTCTGTTAGAGGTAACCTGTGTGTTTATCGTTTTTTCCTTCAAAGAACCTGTATTCGTTTTTTATTGCTACTGCAACAAACTAGCATAAACTTGGTGGCTGAAGACAACACAGATTTATTGTCTTACGGTTTTGTAGGTCAGAAATCCAACACAGGTTCTCACCAGGCTAACATCAAAGCATCTGCAGGGCTGCGATCCTTGTGGAGGGAATCCATATCGTAGCCTTTTCTGGTTCCTAGAGGCCACTTGTATTCCTTGGCTTGTGGCCTTTTTCTCTACCTTCAAAGCTGGTAACACAGCATCTCCCTGTAGTCACCTATCCCTTCACTCTATTCTTCTGCCTCCCTCTTCCGCTCCTGAGGACCCTTGCAATTACACTAGGCCCACCTGTGTAATCCGGGATGTTCACCCCAGGGTTCTGAACGGCGTCACATCTGTGGAATTCCTTTTTTCAATGCAAGGTGACATTCACAGGTTATGGGCATCAGGATGTGGACATTTTGGGAGGGGGGCATTTTTCTGCCTATTGCAGAACCCAATGCATTTGCCAGGACCGCATTTTGCTGACTCAAGCTAGATACATAAAAAAAGAGGAATTGTAAGAATTGTTTGAAATATAGTAGTCTCTCCTCCCCCCTTGCACCACCCCGCCATCCGTGGTTCCGCTTTCCACGGTTTCAGTTACTTGTGGTCAACTGTGGTCCAGAAGCAGATGATCCTCCTTCTGGCATATCCCTGGAAGGTCAACATTAGCCTAATGCTACGTCACAGTGCCTACCCCATTCACCTTACTTCATCTCATCACGCATCCTTTTATCATCTCGAATCATCCCAAGAAGAAGGGTGGGTACAGTACAGTAAGATATTTTGAGAGAGAGACCACATCACGTACAAGCTAGAAGGACCCCAAAATCGCGAACACTCCCTTGGGGACTGAGGAGATCAGGCATCCTGACCTTGTGGGCTGGCTCCAGAAAGACAAGCCCCCTAAACTTCAGGTTTTGAAAATCAATGGGGATTAACCCAGGAGAATTATAGACTATAAGGAATGGAGATCCTGTTCTGTAAGGTCTCATGTGCAGACCCACTTACCCTCAGATCCAGCACAAAATCAATAGATTGAAAATCATCTAGACCAGAAGTGAAGGAGACCCACTTACTAATGTTGAAGTTGCTGCTGGAGAGGCAGGAGCCTGCAGGGACTTTATCTGGGGGATGGAAATGCTGGTGGATGACATTTTTACAATCTCATTCTAACTTGCTGGTGAAGGAACCAACAAGCACCACTTTTGGCACCCTTCCTCTGGCCTGCCAGAACTGGAGGGTGTGCTCTGCCCACACGGCAGCATAACCAAGCTGGGTGAGTGCCCCATGCTCTGCCTACCCTATGTAGCACAGGAGCTGCAACAGGCCTAGGCTCACACCCTGAGCCCCACCCAACCTGTGTAGCTGCTGAGCCAAAACCAGTGGGGTAAGTGCCCAATCTCTGCCCTCCCCATGGAGTGAGCCACAGTTGGGCTGGTGACCCTGAGCCCCACCCTCTCTTCATAGCAGCCAAGCCATAATCGGTCTGGTTGGCCACTCTGAGCCTGGCCCAGCCAGCCCAGAGACAGAACTGAAACTGGACAGGCAAGTTGCTTGAACCCCACTTTCCCTGCATAGTGGCTCAACTTCAGTTGGGCCAGGTGAGTGCCCCAAGCCCTGCCCGCCCCATGCTGCAGTGGGTGGGCTACAGTTGAGCTGGCGAGTGCCCAAGCCCTACCCGCCCCATGCTGCAGCCATGGCCCTATCATAGTCAGTGGGCACATGCAGCACACATGAATGACCATAGAGCCCCTGGCTCTGGTAGCCAGAGATTGAGCTTTGGGGCCATATGGAACAGTCACTATACAAGATCACTCCAAGACTAGGGAGGTAGTCATTTCTTCTAATACACACAAAAACAGAGAGATAGGCAAAATGAGGAGACTGAGGAATATGTTCCAATCCAAAGAACAAGGCAAATCCCCAGAAAAAGACCTTAATGAAGTAGAAGTAAGCAGTCTGCCTGACAAAGAGTTCAAAGTAATGGTCATAAAGATGCTCACTGATTTCAGAAGAAAAATGGATGAACAC